ACAGAGCTAATGTAGTTAAATCTGTTTGTGAGTAAATATACCTGGATCCTAAGAATATTTAGAAGCATATCACAAGCTTCTAAATGTCTTCCTTCATGGGATCCAGGCTGTCCATTAAACAGGATAATATTTTATGGATAGCCTAACCAACGCATTTGTCTAGAGTCTTAGTGGGAATTTCTTTTAGCTTCAGGTTAGAGGAGCTGGTAAAGGTTAGCAGTCAGGCAAGTGTTACGATTATGTGCAAGCAGTTTCTGAAAGGTAAGTCAATACAAATTCCTAAAAAGCTGCAGTAAGTAAGACTTGTGCACATGCGTTGAAAAATTTGATTAGAATGCAAACTCTGACCATTTGCATGTCGAATGTTCAGTTATTTCAGTTATGCTGAACCAAAGCCTAAAGACACATCAGCTACTTTCTTCAACTTTATCTGATCTATCGTTATCCGTCTCACGTGTCATTTTTATTTTAAACGACTGACTAAAGACAAACATACATTTACATTTACGATTGTTTTGTGTCAGATTGTGTAGTAAAATATTTTACTGCCAACTGATCTGATTAAGGCAGCCAGGTGTGTCTCTGCACTTGTAGAACATTGATGGTACATTTGCTTAAATTTGCCTTCATGCTAACAGAAGACATCATGATGTTGACTCTTATACTGAATTATTCAACCATTACTCATGTTATTTTCTAACTTTTACTCCAAGAATAAAGCACAGAAATAAGTAAAAATAATAATCTGTGTTTTATCTTTTTCTTTACAAAGCTGGTTGCTAAAAAGTAACTTGTATATCTTGGAGAATTTAAACATATTACATTCATAATTCCCTTGACTGGATGTTTCTTCTCCCTGCAGCATTCCTAATGAAATTCTGAGTTAACAAAAAGGTTTTAGATAAAACATTTCAGTGGAAGGTTGGAAAACTTGTTTTTATTAATGATAAGATCAGCAAACGTTTTGCAGCTGGGACTCCCTTCGTAGCCCCTGAACAATAAATATATCCAGAAATAAGCAGTCAGGAGTTTATTATTGTCCCAAACCTCTGATTCAACTAGTTTTCATGTTGAGCAGAAGAAGCTTAAGTTTAGAAAGACAATTTAGAAACTACATACAAACATAAAAAAGATAAAATCTTCACACTCAAAATAAAACCATCACATCGTTACCACATAAGATAAATGGATTTATGTTTTAAGAAATAAATTGTGTTTTCCAAAACTGAGACTAGGAAGATTATTCTGAAAAATCTCTCAATCTAAAGGTGAACAACTGTTTAAAACTTAGAATATAATTTAACTGTCTTTTTTCTGTTTCTCTGTCTTCATAGTCTTGTGGTTAGCTTTGTGAAGCTTATCTTTTCATGCAAATATTTTTCAAACTTGCATGACAGATTAAAGACCTGCACTGTTCCTCTGGCACCATCCAGTTTACCTACAAGCAGCTCTGTAGTCTTGCCCATGGTGGAGATTTTTGAGTGTCACTGAGTCTGTTGGCAGGTGACCTTTTATACAGGTGACAATTTGGGATAAGTGTCTCCAATGCAGGTAATGACTTCACTGAGATTAGGGTGTCAGTGGTCTGTGGGAGCCAATATTAGTCGTGGTTGTTGGGGGATCAAATACTCAATGAAATGCAAATTATATTTATTTAAATATTACTTAATTTTCTAGATTTTCTTTCTGATATTTCATCTCTAACTGTTAAAATGAAGCTACCATAAAGATCATCGACTGTTTTATTATTTGTCAAAGTAGAAAATTTCAAAATCAGTGGGGGATCAAATACTTATTTCCTCCATCGTATATCTAATACAAAAATAAGCAACTGAACAACAATAAATAGGCAAAAATGAAACCCAGCTTAGAAATCTTCATAAAAGCTGAAATTTTAAAGAAAATTCTTAATTTTTCCTCTTTTGTTCTGCATTTATTTTCAACTCTGCGACTGAAACATTTATGCCTGTGGAGGTGACAAACTCATTTATTACCCCCACTCACACACCAATAATACATCACGGTAAGGTTAAAGGTCACACAAACATAATTTAATAAAGTCAAAAACCATCTCCAGATATACTTTATGTCAGATCTGGACTGAAACTGAGAGGAAAAAAAGTCAAGCAAAAACATGATAGAGGAAACAAATAAAAAAAAACCTGAAAAACCTTCTAATAACTGAATATTTTCATTCAGATCGATTCAAAAGGCTGCAAGGAACAGATACAAAAGGTCAAGAGTTTTTGACAACAGACACAGTTCCAGCTGCCTTTGTTTCCCCTCTAGTGAGAAGTCATGTTGAAATTTCATTTTCAAGTGGTGAATTTATTTGTATAACTGATCTCAAAATCTCACTTTGTAAGTAATTCAGTTCCTCCCGACTGCTTTAATATGAAGCCACACTGAGGTTTGCTGCAGAATGAAAGTTTTGAGCCAGTTTGTATGAATGAATCAACACTGACTTTATAGTCCACCACCATTATCTTATATACTTTTGAACTCATTGAAACCTTTAATATAATGTGAGCTGTTTTTCAACAAAAGCTCAAACGCAATAGTTAGTTTCCCTTTTTATGCTGGAAAATTTGCATATTAGTTTAGTATGTAGCTCAACTCAGTTCAATATTTTATGGAAAAACTGTTATTTTCCTCAAAAATAAACACAAGAGAGACAATCTGATCAGAGAACATACATTTATTTTCTAGTCATGTGACAGTGGATATTATTACTGATTAATAATCAGTAATAATATTATTACTGAGAAATAAGATATTATCACAGATCAACTTGTACACAGTAACTTTAATCCCCAAATAATTTGGCTGTAAATTAGAAAATAAATCAACTGAAACTCAAAGATTAACTTGAATTTTGTCATTTTTTGATGCTGGAAACATTTAGCCACAATTCAGACACCCAAGCTGTTTTTTAATCCCAGTTTTTTTTGGTGGTTTAATTGTGTCATCTATCCACTTCCTGTAGCCACAGACATCCATGAAATAAGCTGGTGCACTGCATGCGTATATCGGATCACCAGTGCGGACATGAACGCCATACAGCCGGTTGTTGAACACCCATCCTCCACCAGAGTCGCCCTGTCACAAACACAAAGCTTTTAGTTGTCATGTCAAACTGAGTTACACAGTAAAACAGAGGAAAACTCAGATTATTCAGCAGAAAATGGGTAGAAGACCAACCGCAGATGTGTCCTTCGTGGAGCTTTTAGTACAGGACCAGTGCTCGTACTGATATCTAGGACTAGAAAATGTTGAACTGCCATGTTTCAAAATCTTAATCTCTGCACACTGAAGATCAGATGGACGATGGTCAACTGTAGAAGCAGCATAACAGATATTAGATCTGTTTATGTGTCAACACATTTTAGTCAGAATATCATCTTATTATTTTGTGATTATTAACCAGTTTTTCCATTATCTGACGTTTAGGAACTTCTACTAAGTTAATCTTCAGCAGAGAGTCTGAAGGCTGATTTGAATCATCTGAATCATTTTGAGGTAATAGCAATGAAAAACATGAACATTCATCTTACTTCGTAAATTATTTGGTCCTGTTATTGCTGGTCCAAAACCTGCAATCTGAACCCTAGTGCCGCTGAAACACAAGAAACAAAAAGTAAGTAAGTCGCATTCAGAAAATCAGCTGACCTTCAGAACGGCTGCGTTTGAATTTCGCTTTCGGCTTGAAATTCAAGAACCAAGTTCTAAAATTTAATAAAGACAAAACTTACACTGGGAGAATATGTGAACAGTTGGGTAGTTTGATTGGTTTGATTGTTGTTATCTTTTTTGGAAGCTTCAGGAGCATGATGTCATGTTCATTATTATTGATGTCTCTATAAATCTCCTTGTGAGTGATTGTATAAGTTTCAACCTTATGCAGTCCTTTAGGATGAACTCCTATAAGTGCTGTATTTGTCCTCCACAAAAAAAAACAAAAAAAAAACACAATTATTAGAGAAACAATCAGAGTTATTGGTGATTTTTCAGTAAAATGTTTCCTGACTCACCATCCTGGACCTGACTCCCAGCAGTGAGCTGCAGTCAGAATCCACTCATCACTGATCAGAGATCCTCCACACAAAGATGTGTGTGTTGTACTAGTGCCTTCAAGCATCACATGATAGTGTCGCTCATCGTCTTTACAGTTCTGGCCTCCAACGACTCTCTTCTGCAGAGACACTGAACTCACTGCAACACCTGGAGAAGAAAGTTTCTGTTTTTAGCCAATTAAAGCCACACAGTAGAAAGAAGGAACCAAAATGACAGCTTTATGATGAAAAAGACAACACACAGATCAACAGATGAAGTCATAGCAATCAGAGCCAGTGAAAGTGTCTCCAGTCTGTCCATTGTGTGTCTCCAGTGTGTCTGACTCACCCAGCCCCAGCAGCAGCAGAACCTTCAGCAGAGCCATTGCTGGTCCAGGTTCCTGTGAATGTCTGCAGTCCTGCAGCAGCTTTTAAACTCTGTTCACAACTTCCTGCTGGAAAGAAAGCCACCAATCACAGGACGGACACCGATCTGTCCAATCACAGGACGGACACCG